CACTCCCCACCCATCCTGGGGCACGCCATTTCACCAGCAGGGCCTCCTTTTCCTGGGTGGCAGAACATGCCTGCAATGAAGTGGGGCTGCAGCCACTGAGCCTTTTAATTTCCTTAGGAATCGTTCTGGAGCCCATGTGAATTAAAGTTCGTTTAATAAGTAAGACGGAAAAGGGTCGGCACTGGATGGGCACCAAGAGAGTGCTTACTTTGCGCCAGGTGGAGAGCAGTGTTTTGGCACTCAGAAAAGGCACAAGCCAAGTATCTTTGCTTTTGCCAGGCCCTTCACTGACAGAAGCACACTTCTTTCCAGCATCGACCGTTTCAAATATATTGAGAAGTTCACCATTAGGAGAAATGGGAAAAGCAGCAAAGTGGAACATGCTCCACGCATGCGTGCAGAGCCCATTATGTGCAATGCGCAGAGGCTACGAAGAAGCAGCGATGGTTCCCTGTGGATCAAAAAGCAACTTCATTTAACACTGTCCAAATAACTTCCTCAGACAAGCTGGTGACCTTACGAAGGGCTAAGTGTACCAGGCAACAGCAGGGAAAAAATTGCTACTGCTAAATCATTTAACTTGGAAATTCAATAAAAGCTACTCTTACAAGCTGTCACAGCCCAAAGATGATTTAAATAAATATTAACTCCTTTCAGCATGTTAAGGCGCTTAAGACAAGGTCAAAAAGCTTCTTCTGCAAAAGAATGAGCTGCTTTTGACAGAGGATGTGAACAACAAAAATACTTTCTTTAAAAAATGGTTGCCTTAAAAAGGATGAACAGTGACAGGTTTAATTTTTAGAAAGAACTTTATTTAGAAGACAATATTCATGTGTCTCATTACAGCATCTTAGAAAAAGCCTGCATGATGAATTGTTAACCAGCAAAAATATTGCAACTAAAAACGAGCAAAGAAATTGTCAGCCCAAGGATACACAATGCTGAACATTCGTAAGTAACTTCCTTGTGACATTTTAGCTCCACAGATTGACAATTTCTCTTGGACTTTAAATGAATCACAGACCCCTCTCTGCATAAATCTAGGGCGAACATCTCCTCTGCACCAAGGGACAAAACACAGTGGGGCTACAATCTTTGCATGCATCTTTAGAAGTAAATGCACTTGACATCGGTTCGGCATACTTCTGGTGCGCTGCAAGTCATTTATAGATTCATGCACTGACTTTTCTAACAAGCTGGGACAGCTTTAATAATAAATAAACTGACTTTATGAGATGCATGTGATAGTGGACTGTCAAAGCCCAACAAAACCAGAGTAGGCTGAAATCTACCTCTTAGGCTATTAGCATGAATTAAAGGCAGGTGTATACAACTTAAGAGCCATCAAGTCAAAAGCAGATCACCAGCCATGCTGCTGGGCCCATGAATTTTGTTGTTCCAGGCAGGCAACCAGAGGTTCCTCAAGCAGCTGGAGTCCTGCCTTTGGCTTTGTGGGTCTCAAGTTGTGCAAGGCTGAAATAAGGAGAAACAGCAGTAGCTTGAAAATCCCCAGCCCTTGCTCCTAGAGTGGGAAACAGCCCTTTGCTGGAAGCACAGCTAGAACTGAATCTTTGGCAGCTTAGGGTATAATCCTATGCATGTTCAGGAAAAAAACAAAAAACAACCGGCCTATAATTCCTAGTATGTCCCAGCCACAGCTGTAGGGGTGTTTTCCCCCTTGTGTAAACATGCAGAGGATTTCCGCCTTGGTTACAGCTGAATTCTACAGCGCTCCTTTCTCACAGCTCTCCCCAGTGGGCTAGCAGCTTGCTGAGCCTTGCTCACACGGACTGCAAATCTTCCAAGTCACTTTACAAATCCTTGACGCAAGGTAACAACTCAGCAAATGTCCACAATGTACCAAGTTCAGATTCCTAGGGTTGTGTTCCCTTACGAAGGACCCACTTGTTTGTAGTTGTCTCACTAAGAGCCCCTGAAATTTTCACTGAAGTTGATGGCACAGCTTGTATCTTGAACTGCTCCATGCAGCCTTCCAAAATGCCTTCTTTTGCATGTATTGTGGCCGTGATCTATAGTGTTTGTGTATTTCATTATATATGTTTTGGGCTCGATTTACCTCAAAATTCTCAGTATCAGAAGTGTCTGTGTGTGTGTTTGAGGCTACAGCAAGACCCATGAAACCAAAGTTTTAGATAGCTGCAAAAATCTCACCAGATAATCTTTGGGCTGACTTTTAGTTCAGACCCTTCCGTTTAATTAGAACTTAAAAGTGGGTCCTTCTATGATATGAAAGGTGGTCTAGGTGTAATATATTTTCTTAATACATACAGAATAATATAATAAATTTGGGTGGAAGTGCTTTTGTGAACAAAATGATATTACAAGGAATCCTATTAATGGACAGCCAAAGATTCCTGTTTCTTTAAACAATTTAAGGGAGAACCCCACAAAGTTCCAGTGTCACATGCCCTCCTACCTCACTTTCTAACAAACTTCATCTGTGCACTGCAAACTTATTAGAAAACTGTGGTTGCATGCTGTAACAAATTGGGCCCGCTGGTGGGCAATCTTTGCCACAATTCTGAAAAAGGAGTCTCCTGCAGTTGTGAGTTGGAATCCAGAGACATCAAAAAGCAAAATTGCTACCTCCTGTTTTCATTTAAAACTAAGAAAGGCAAGAATGTGGGAACGTATTCTTATAAAGACAGGCTACGGCTATAATTATAAGCATATGAACACAGTGAGTGGACTTATTTCCGAGTAAATATACCTTGGACTTGGCTGCACATCTGGCTGGCCGCAAACAGGAATGCCCTCTTTTCAAGGAAGTGTGCTGTGTGTCTTTACTTTCACCTTCCTCCCGTCTGTTCTAAAGAGACAATCTGGGTTCTTCTGCCACAGTGCTGGGCCAGAACATTTTGCTGCATGGAGTTCAGCCGAAATAATGGCGCCACGCTGCTAGGACCAACACTGCAAAAAGCCTTGCTGCACCATTCATACACTAATTACTGCTTTTGTCGATCTCTGTATGATGGGGCTGGCCGGGTTGGGTCTGTTCCAGAGTAGAATCATAGAACAGAAGAGTTGGAAGGGGCCATGAAGGCCATCGGGTCCAACCCCCTGCTGTTGCAGGACACCATGTTGCACCATCCCACTCAGAGGGCTGTCCAGGTTCTTTTTCAATGTATCTGGTGTGGGAGAGCCCACCACCTTTCTGGGCAGCTGGTTCCACTGCCGTTTTGCTCTGACAGGCAATTTTTTCTCAGCCCAGTGGCCATTCTTGCATTCCTGCAGCCATCAACACACAAATGCAAATGGAAACCATTCTACATATAGCACCCCAAATCCTACTCCTGATCTTATTAAAAATGCTTCCTGTGATAACACCAGGCCCTCCAATAACCAGGTAATTATCACTGAAGTTAGTCACAGCTATCATTAGTGTGACAAAGAAAAGTTCTGTGCGATTTTAAAATTTGATTGCAGCATTTTACTTGGCCCAATAAAAGATACTGTCAATCTCTTACGTTTCCCGTATTGTTGGTATAAATGTAAGAACAAATTAGACTTGGGGTTAAGCACCTGACAGCTCCACTAAGCAGCTTATATTTCTACAAGGGCAGTATCTGGAATTGAACCAAGAGAGAGAGAGAGCGAGCGAGCGAGCGAGCGAGCGAGCAAGGTAAGGGCTGCGGTATGTGTTGCTTGTTCAAAAACTACAACAGTAGGAACTTTAGGGGTGGAAGATCAGTTTATTAGCTTAAAATAATGGAAGGGCTTATTTGCTGTGGGTCTGTTGCTGCTGGGGAGAGAGGCACAGAAGGCCCTGGGCAAAGTAGCTCTGTGCATTTACAGGCTTGGTAGCTTACACCCACTGCCTTTCAAAAATAGGGCAATGTTATCTAACCACACCACGTTTTATATATGCTTATCCCGAATTAGTGGACAGAACTCCCACGGAGCAGTCTGCTGACCCACACCCCCAGCTGGATCAGGCATGCATCCCTACAGGCTTAATTAAAGCTTTACTACTTATTAGAATGTTTTATTATTGTATTATGTTCAAATGGCAGTGGGCTCTAACCTCATTAAGAGAAATGGAGTAGAAATTATTCAGGGGCCTTGCTTGCTTAAAACAAAAATGTGGCTACTGTCCAGCTTTGATTTAAATGCAAGTTGATTAAAGGCTGCCTTCCTTCTGGTGGCAGCAGGAAAGTGCAGAAAGACCCTGCATGTGACTTAATGAGTACTTATCTAAATATAAAATTATTTTGCGTTTGGGTGACAGAACCCTATCTAGCCCCGCAGTAATTTACCAAGGAACAAGTGGAGAGGGGGAAAAAAACATTTAAATCATTCGAAAATGAGCATAGCTCAGAAGGGGAACTTTAATCTCATTACACATCTTGATTTAATTAAATATGGGGAAAGCTAGCTACAGTGTTGCAAGTTTCTCGTCATTATAGATTAATCGTAACACATTTCTTCCATGAATTATCTGAGCAGGCCAAATATGTTCCTATTGATGTTTTCATGGTTTTCCAGAGGCACTTGATTCCTGTCACACTTTGCACCAGAGTTGGATACTGGTCAAAGTCTACCAGGAATTGCATTTGGGCAAACCCTGCTGGAATTAATAAGAGGTGCAGTTCACATCCTTGTTTGATTTGTGTTCATTTCAGACAAAGTTGTGGAGTTGTGCAAAGTTCCAATGAGAGAGTGTGCCAACAGCTTTGAGATGACCTGAAACGACTGGAAAGTTCTATGTCCAATCTCAACCCTGCCCTAACTCCCATATAAAATGTTAAAATTAGCGTTAAGAGCATTATCACAGTGACTTTTTAAAAAACAGAGTGTTAAAAAGTTGGTCATTTTCATAAAAGTCCAAAATGTACAAAAATGTGAACTCTACTTGCTTCAACACAAGACACGTAATTCATGGATTTTGTTTTCTGCAAGGAAGAGGGGAATAGACAGAAGGGGGGAGCCACCTTTTGAGGAAAAGGCTTCATGTGTGTGTCACGTACAATAAAGCAAAATTATTCCTTAAAACACAAAATATCCCATCACTTTAATGATCCTTATGGCACTATTTACTTGGGTTTGGCACTCTAACTCAAAGAGACACATTAAGAAACAACAAGAACAACGACAACAACAGAACACAAGAGTTGAACACTGCTGCATGCAGGAGGTCGGTCGGAAGGTTTTGCTTTGTTTGCAATTTTTCCTTTAAATGTCCGAAATAGGACTCCAGAACATGCTTCATTACAAAAATCTCAGAAACCAAACAAAAGCAAACATGGAAACTACCAAAACATCCCCCCAGGGGAAAACGAAAACAAAAACTTCCTCCAGTTGTCAAAGTCTGAAAATCACAGACAAATCATTCTATTAAGTGTGGAGCCATAGGAAAACAAACTGATACACTGAGTAACAAATGTCGTGAATGCTTGAAAACTGGTGTGCACTGAAAATTCAAGCAGTGGCACTAGCCGTCAAGTGCCTGGCGGTGCTATGCTGGATTCTGACTGCGACTCTTGGTAGCAATGTCTGTAGAAGACTCAAGGCTTTGCTTGAAGACAGGTCAACTTGCAGCGGATATGTAAACTCCAGCTGAGGGGTGAGTATGTGCTTAAAGCAAACTTTCATGTGGGTATGTTCTCATCTTGCCCTGGCCTGAGCTACACAACAGCTGCTAGCATGTTGACAGGTACTTCCTTGTCAGCAGAGGCCAAGCACCATCACCGCTGTGCAGGGCGGAAAGCAGGCAGAACAGAGCATGTGGGAAAGAAAGTGACCAAAGGCATCGCATTGCTGGTGTGCCAACGTCTGGGTCCTGGTGCACAAATCAACAGCACGAGGTGACCGGTGCCCTTCACTGTGATCTGGGCTCTCTGGCAACAACGCTCTGTGGGGTTTGAACTTGACAAGGTTTATCCTGTGATGCTGAGCAAACGTACTTGGCTGTAAGCCCAAGGAAATTAGTAGCACTTACTCCCAAGTAACTAGTTGTCGAATAATGGTCTAGAGCACCTTAAGGAAAAGAAAAAAACAGGACCTTCCGATGGGATCACAGGACCACAGTGCCAAGCCAAATCCCTGAGCCGAATTCGCGATCTATGCAGTTAATGGGAACAGGCTACAGTTCCCAGAACCAGGCTGTGCATGGGGTTGTGCCTGGCAGCAAGTCTCGGGGCCAATGCCCGCTCCGTTCTCCGCATGTCAAACACCTCTCATGCTGTGGCGTGTGCATGGTCCTTCACAAAAAGGGGGCCGCACAGGACACTGCAGGTAGATGCTGCTGCGGTAGAACGGGCAAACGTCTGGCACACTGCGAATTGTGCAGCTTGCACACCAGCCTTGTGTCATCCCCGCAAGCTTTCTGGACAAATGTTATCAAAACAAACACTCTTAAATTGTCACAGTAATGAAAAAGTAAATCTTTTAAACCAGTGTACGACACTTCTTAAAAATAAGCCATTTTTGTAAACTCTCTTAGCTTTTACCATTGCAGGCACAGAAAAACTATGTGGTCTTTTTATGTCTAACCAGCTTGTATACATGGAATGTTTTGTTCTGGAATACTTTAGCAAAATACATTGTATATGAAGGCAGATTTCTTTTGATTTCCTCACAGAAGCGAGGATATGGTGACGGTTTCAGATCAGGGTCATTTTCCCCAGGACCATCCATAGTCTGTAACAGAAAGTACAAGGTCGTTTGCACCTCCTGATACTGTTATACGAATAAGGAAATGCAGCATCGTACCCAGGAGTAGCATATTATGAGCTGTACTGGATACTCATAGGGACAACCCTACAGCCCAGGTGGGCATTCTCTTTGCACAGTCACAATCATACAGTGGGGGGATGTGAAGCTGTGTCGACTGGCTCTGCCCCTTTGCCCCATCTCTGCCTTCCACCCACTGGAAGGAGACGAGGGCGGTCTGGTCACATCGGGAAGGTCCTTGTACGTGTCAGAACCTTGCATGATCCTCATCATCCACAGAGAGCCTGTGTGTGTGCGGAGGAGGCGGGACACGAAGGGTGGTCCCAGAACACACGGCCCCGTTCTCTCTCCTCATACAACGGGAATTGCATGTGGGAGTCTCTGAATGAAGATGCTGTCTAGCACAGAATGAATGATCCTGCAGGGAGAATACTCAAACAGGACATCCATGTTTCTTCCTATTCTCCTTCCCTTGCTGATTCCTAACCTATTTCACATGGATTGCCATAATTCCTGAGCTCAGATTAATTTATTAACTCCGATTCAGAAATATGTGCTGGACTTAGCAGAAAAAAATATATTTCCTGGCACCATCGAAACGCCGTAAGATTGCACGATTAATATCATGGTTTCTTGGGTCTCAGTATGTATGTTTGCATTAAAAGTTTTTCTATCCAATCCCCTACAAAAGTCTCGGGACGGCTTATAATAAATAAGTGCATTTCAGACAATTCCAGCTGAGCAACTGAAGTCCTGGGGCAACGTTTCACAGCTTAATGCCCTCCAGCTCATGTCTGCTGGGGATGCTGGGAATTGCATTCCAACATATTTGGAGGGCTTCAGGTTGGAGAAGACAGCCACAGGGTGCTGTGAGGCAGAGTCACTGAAGCTATTTAAACACAATTAGGAGAATAAATGCTGGAAAGTACTTACATGGCCATTTGCGATGTCCAGGAGATCACGCAACCTACAGCCCCTGCTGTGTCTCCTTTCATAGCAAATACTGTCCTCCAGGATTACAAAGTCAGTGCCAAAAGATCTGAGGATCCTGTGGACATCTTCAGGAGACCTTTTTGCATAGACCTGATAAACCTTTGAAATGTTGGAGCAACATAATTTAATTAGCATAGCCATAAGGAAATCTATTGTGTTGTTCTGACTTAATTATTTAAAGCCAGGGCACAAGCAGAAGATTTTTAAATGTTTGTAGGATGTAAGAAATTTTTGTAGGAAGTCCCCTTTCCTGTAGTTTCACAGTATTAGACTGTGTAGTCATTCAATGAAACTGCCTGCAGTAAGTTCAGGGCAGACGCAAGGAAGGGCTTAATCAGATAATGCTTAATTCATAGACAGAATTTGCTGTTCCAAGAAGTGCTGATGGGCTTTACAGAACAAATTCATGGCAGAGAAGTCCACGGATGGTTACTGGCCCTGGTGGCCTTATAGGATCACCATGTTTAGAGACCGCATAGCACTGGCTACCGCTTGCTGGGGAGCAGCGGCCAGAGTGGCCTGCACCTCCAGTGGCTGTGGCTGTGGATCCTGCTGGCCCACTGCAAGACATGGCCTTTGGTCTGCTCTAGCAGGACTCTCCTTAAAATAGGGACGTGGGCAAGACACATGAATTAAGGGCAGTCCAAGGGTGTGAAATCTAGTTCTTCAATAGACTAAACTAGCTCACAGAGAAATTCTGAATCCCATGATGCCAGGTAAATACAACACAATACCTTTGGTTTATGACAGAGGCTGAGAAGACTTAATTAACTGTATCTCCTGGTGCTGGAGTTTAAGTGTATTCTGGAAGTCAACTACCAAGCAATGCAACTCAGGGTACCTGACTGCTATAACCACCCAGGGATCAGCAAGCAATGGAAGCCATGGGAAAGAAGCCCTGGGTCAGCCTGGGCACACACTCTGCCACATCCCAGGGCCCAACGGGGATGCCTCGGTTCCCTGCAGCATCCTTTCCTTCCTATCTGGCTTAGGAAAGCACAACTCTTTTACTGACAGTGGTGCAGAGCATCCTTGTGACAGTTGTGTGACTTAGGCAAGAGCGGGGCAAAGTGGAGCTGAGGCAAGGCAGCACTTCCCTTTGCTCAGACCCACAGAAAGTGTGATGTCCTGGCCCGACTACTGTGAGGAGGGGAAAGCAGAGCAGAGCCCCTTACCTGCTTGGTCCTCTCTCTCAGGCTTTTATCCTCATAGTGGGGGTGATTGGTTAAAATCCTTCCTGTGCATAGCTTGACACCTGCCAACAGCTGCATACTTCCAGCAATCACTGCCTTCTTAGGGGTGTTGGACCTAAACAGACATTGATATTTCCTTTACAGAAGTGCCACTGCCACTTTTCATAGCTGGACTAGGTCTGTCCTTGCCGTCACAAAAGCCATCAGCTTCATCTGCCCAGGAAAAAGAAATATGAGAGAAAGTGGCCAACCACCGTCTCTGCTCAGGGCGGCTGCTACCTGAGAAGACTGGGCCCCAGAGGCCCTGGGATGCAAGACCAACAATGTCTGGCTGCATTATATTCATTTTAAGGACGGTCAGGTGACCAGGATATTTCTTGGCGCCTCACTGAGGTCTGCTTTTTGAACTCTGAGCGGTCTGTTTCCATCATAGCTGCCCCCTATAAGAACTGCTTAATGTTTAGCCCCTAAATTCCATATTTTCCTTTCACCTCGTTTTCTTTTTTCCATCCAGTGTCTTTTTAGACTGCATGTCTCAGACATGAAAACTTACTGTCTTATATTTATTCTCCTGTAAGTCAATCTAGAAGCCTTTCCTGTTGAAGAACAGTTATTTTTTAAAATAACAATAACTGGAGGTTTAAAGAAATTGTGTACTTTGCAATAAGTGAAAAAGAGACATTTCTACTCACTCACCATCTCCTTGCAAAATGCCACATTTGGCTACAAAAATTAATATGACTTTTCTGCACTCCAGTATCTGAACGGACATCCTAACACATTATGCATTGCAGATCTTGTAGTATCAGAATCTGCTTAGAGGCAGACTTTGTGAAAGTAATTCTAGTCTCTAGACTTATTTTTCCATTTCGACTTATTTCTGAAAGTTTCTTATTAAAAATATCAGTATCAATAAAAATGGGAATTCCCCATGGGTATATCTAATCAACACGATATCCTTGAGCTGATGAGGTGTCACAAATAAATAAGTATTGACATAGATGGAGTAATAAGATGGAATTTCTTAAACAATCAAAAACCATAGTGTACAGAACAAATCTCAGCCCATTTCAGAAGTGAGCAGTGAAGCAGCCAAGGTCTGAGAGCAGCCAATTCCATACAAGGCTGCAAGCTGGTATTGCAAGTGGCCACCTGCATTCCTCCCAGGCCGCACCAGAGCTAGGTTTTGCTGTGCCCCCTCAATCCTTCCAGGAAAATCACACTTCGGGATGCAGGCACGGGATCATACGTTCAAATTCTTCCTCTCATCAAAAGCTTGATGCACACAGAAAACTAATTCTCAGGGAAGCTTCCCTTCAAATATGTGTTCTGAAGTGGCACAGTGCCAGGAAGGCGGTGTGGTACAGTCACAAAGCACAACGTAAGTAACACACAGTTGTGACTGCATATTATTTAAGGTCTACATGGATTTTCCATTTAATTTTCCTGATAAAGAAATTGAAACTATTCAAAGGAAGCCATAAATGTTAGCTTCAAACTTGAAGGAGACATCTATGAGAAGTGATGGATGCATATTGCAAACATTTTTTAAAATTTCTTACAAGGCCAGGCTAATCCCATATAGAGGCAGTGGAGATAATATTTTTAGCAAGGCGTTATAACTCTTGATGGGCAAAGAAACTCATCACAGTTTCTCTTTGGCTTCTTAAAGCTGGCTCCAGTTGAAAAATAATAAAAAAAATTGAAGTAATTATGAAGCAAGCTTAGCACATCAATCGTTTCAAGAACTTAATGTTATGCATGTGTAAATATCTCTCGCCAATATTCAGCATGGAGTTGAACACTAGCACAGCCTGAAGCCTAGATCTTGTCCACGGGAGCTAAAAGAAGCACCATTAAAAGCCAGTTCAGACATTGCAAAGTCCAGTTTGAAAAGGACTTGCTTTCCTGCTCTTCCCATTTGTCTCATATTATGAGATCTCTAACCCATAGTAAGAACAGCTTCTGGAACTTTTATGATATTTCTACCCTGATCAAAGCAGCTGAGGTCACTGTAAGAAAAACACCTCAATGCCACAAAGAGCCAGTGTGGCGTAGTGGTTACGAGCACGGGGCTGGGACTCAGGCAACCTGAGTTCTCATCCCCTCTCGGCCATGGAGCCAACTGGGTGACTTTGGGTCAGTCAGAGGCTCTCAGCCCAACCCACCTCAAGATTTGTTGTTATGGGAATAAGATGAGAGCAGTAGGAAAAAATGATATAAACTGCTTTGAGTTCAGTGTAAGCAAAAAGTAGAGGATCTAGTAACACCAAGCAAGAGCAACACTATAGCAAAAGCTTTGTTTTAACACACACACAAACAGTAGCGAAGGGCAGACGTCATTCAAGAAAAGCCCCAGGAAAAGCAGTAACCACCAAATTGGTTTTTACTTGATGCCTCAAAGATAGTGAGGATGCCAGGAGGGTGACTCCAGTAATGGGGACCATACCTGGAGGGGTCTAACTGCTGAACCCGGGGGGAGCAGGTTCTATCTGAAAACTGATTCTATCTGGTGACCAGCACTGGCACCAGAAAACCCCCAAAACGTCTGATTCCACCAGCTATCACTCCTGACCTACCAGGCTTATCCTAGAATTCAATGGAGGTGCATCACATTCCTCCGACCAGCCAGCCTCTGCCACAGCTCTTCCTGCTGCAACTCCGCTCATTTGAGACTAATACTTTGGCAATCTTCACACCCAGCTTGAGATCTTTCAGCAGCAGAGAAAAAGGAAGCGTAATTCAGTTGTGTACCTTTTTCCCTGCTTTTGGCTAACTCCTGAAATGGCTACAAATAAACAGGGAATGGCCACTAGAGGGGGGCAATCAGGCCGTGTGCTCAGACCACCCTCTGCCAGGTGTACTGAATCCCCCCACTTAACACTTCCTGATGCAGCCACCAAGAAACTCTGCCTGAATTTTACCCACTTAATGCGCTTCAAACGACTGAATGGCACTTTTCCATTATGGAAAAGCGAAGCAATTTTTACAAATGTCTGAACAAATGATGTATAAAATGAAAGGATAATTTGTTTTTATAGGTTTCTGCCAAGCTCCATAACCAGACTGCCCAACCTGCAAACAATTTATTCTTCAAGAAATGTCACTAAATAATGACAAGGACTTACAGGTCAAACTGATTTACATTATGTAATTTAAATGTCATTCCAAGCAGACCTGATGGCATTTTGAACAAATAATCTCATTTATTTTTGAAGCTCTAAGCGCCAACAAGTTAATTACTGCTGAACTAATGGGGTAAACTGAGCACCATAATATAAAACGGGAATCTCTACACTTATCTATACTTTTAAGAATAATAGGATTGCTACAAAACAACTCATTTACAACAGAAGGCTTTAATGGAAATTACAGGGCTCAACATATGACATTTGGGGTGCATTTGAAGGAAGATTCCAAACATTTTAAAAGTGCTTCTTAAAAAGAAAAGAGACTCATTTGATTGTTGAAGCATAAGAGATAAACTGTGAACATTTCTATACAAATGCTGAGAACTTCCACTTAAGTGCAGCAAGTTCTCCATGGATGCTTGCAAATGAACATGTCAGAAGTTCAGAATCACTTCTGGAGAAGTAAGATGCTTTCTGATGCTGCTTCAAGGATGAAGAAAAGCACAGAACATGAAGCACAACGCAAGGCATGTCAAAGAACAGTCAAGTCTTCTCAGGGATGTTGGGCTCTGATCAATGTGCTGGTGCAACAGTAACTGTGCACCTGACTAATCCTGCCAGAGCGTTTAGCTTCTGGACCATGTGGGTCAACAGACACCAGCCTGTCTATAATCCCTCTACGCTGACGCACACTGCAGGTGAAATAGATGCAAGGCCTCCGATATGCACTATTAACGGATTACCCAACCTATTTCAGTTGGATTGTGTCTTCAGGGGCAGGCTAATTTCATGCAACCTTATTTTTGATATGGCCAGTTCTATATGAGTCTTTATAATGAAGTAAGCAACCCTCACCCTTTAATAAGACAGTAAATCAAAAACATACTGAACATACTCGTAACAGACATCGTAATAAACTTCTGTTTTCCAGCATCAGTTCAAATCTTTACTAACCTTTAAGCAAATTTTTATGGTGTTGGCTCTCCTTTCCTTCTACATTCAACATGATCAATACTGATTTGCAATATGGATCACGGCAAAACAAATACCAGGAAGCACCTTAACCATCTATGTGTTTTCTCTCAAGACAAAATACCGAAAGGGGTGAATTATTTTCTCAAACATGTTTGGCAATATATCAGGGCCTCATGTACTCTTAACATTATTGAAATTTGCGAATTGTTAGGTCAAGAGGTGATTGAGTGTTATAAACTGCATGGAATGAATATTAAATGAAGCTGGTTTATGTCTGTGTTAAGACACTGATAGACTGGATTGTGCATCATTTAGGGATTTTGAATGCTCTTTGACTTAGGAACTTTGTGCAAGCAGAAAACTAGCAAGACAGCAAGAACATTTGATCACACTAGTTTTCTGTTTGCAGAGAAGTTCCCGCCACCTGCTCATCTGAAGCACTTCTGGCTCCCCTTTGGCTGGAAAAGGCTTCTAGAAAGGTTTACAAATATCTTATTCTTATTAAACAGTCCCTTACTCTCTCAGGCATACAATCTAAGAGACATGACACAAGGAAAAGTGGCTGGGAGGAGGAGGGAAGTGCACAGGCCTGCTCTGAGTCACAAAATTTCTATGATGACCATCTAGAATGGAAACAGATCTAGAAGAGAGGAGGACACAGGTTGCTGGTGTCTCAGTTGAGTGAAAGGAGAGACTCTGTTTTCCCTTCTCCCCTTTGTTGCATCCTCATGGAAAGGCTGCTCCCAGGTGACTGGTGATATGAGGATATGACCGATTCAGCTGATGTTGACCCTACTTTTCTTCTCTGTCCCTACTGCAGCCAGATGGACTAGCTGTTGGATCTTAAGGAACTTAACTTACTCCACAAGGCCCTTGTATAGAAAGTGCAGCTAGACAACATATACTGTACCCATACTGAACAGTCCATGTCTTTTACTCTTAAGCCTGCAATGGTAAATCTGGCTTTCAAATTATATTTTTATTGAAATAAGACAGGAAACCTCTCCTAAGGTAGACATGTGCAACACACACACACACACACACACACACACACACACACACACACACAGAGTTATCCTACACAGAAAATCTTGAATAAGAGCAGATGGAAGTTCAGCTGAACTTTTAATGGGCTGAATGAATAATGACTGAATCATTTTGGACATCAGGAAATTACAAAGCAAGAAAATATCAGTTCCAGTTTCAGGTGAAAGACATAAATTGGCTTGCTGAATGTTGCCAATGCAAAACTAATTAACTTCTCTTTATGTACATAACATTCACTCTTCAATGAATTACTTTCCAAGTAACAAACAAAAGCAAAAAGTGTTTGTCATGATTTAAAAGAAGGGTAAATAGCAGTTTAGTATTATTTGCTCTGAAATTGTGTGACTACTTCTTTCATTGCAAACCAGTCAAATCGTTTGTTGCTGAAACCAAAACCCCATGTATATTTAATATATAAATCTATATATAAAACACTGTGTATTGCACCCTAGAGATCAGAGGGCTATCAAACATTTAGCATCTCTTAATATAGAGGTGGTACTAAAGACCCCTGGCTTGTGAACATTCCTCATGAGAACATGTCAATACGGTAGGAAAAGGATGGAGATGACTTTGCTTTGCTTTCAGAATATTGCCAACCATTTATATTAGCTGTTCACTCACGGATAATTATATTGTCCATTAACAATGCCCAAATAAAGGCAACGCTATGGCCAGTATAAAGACAAATATATTCTTGTCGGTGACAAGAGTTTTTCTTGCCCTTTAGAAAGGACGTTCTAGATCAGGGACAGCCAAAACAAGAAACCCAGAGATCACATCGTATCTCAGAGCTTTCAAAGGCCTTTTGCACCAGGTTGGGCTTCCAAAGTGATAGCCTTAGGAGGCAGGGAGTAGACATCCCCAGCCAAGCTGCTTGGAGGTTACAGACTTCCCTTCCCTTCTCCTTCCAGAGACATCAAGTCAGCAGCTCAAGCTGAATGACTGCTAGTCTGGCTCCTAGCACAAACTGAGAGGGCTTTATTTCAGAAAACGAGGAAACATCACAGATGCCTTTGTGAAAAGTCCCTGCGGCATCCTCTTACTGTTGGGAGCGCTGCCTATCAAGTTAGTCAGCTGTGATTCCAGCCCATTTTCCTGAGGCTGATGTCACTGTGAGTTGAGAGGCTGCTCCTGGGCAGCGTGGCTGGGAGAGTTTAGCCCCACAAGCTGATGAAGTCTACTATCAATGTTATAGGCAAAAATAATGTGGAAAGATGCTGGAACAAGAGGCTTTGTGTACAGTGATGATCTCAACAGCCCCAATACCCATGACCAATGGCTTCTTTGTGCTACACGGCCCGCTTTTCAGAATCAGTCAACACAGGACACTGATAGGACCAGAGGGCAGCATCACTAAGTACATCAGCTAACTCTAAACAGCATCTAATATAAATAAAGTAAAAATCCTCTTACTTAATCCAGTTCATCAGCTCCACTGTGTCTGGGTCATAGAATTCTCTCAGCTCTGACAGCTCAGCCATCACTCCAGGCCAGACCTAGCAGAAGCACACACACACAGACACACAAACCGACATGGACAGCATAGAGAATACGCTAGGTCAGATAAAGAGCAGAGCTTAATTCTTTGATGGCTTTTCAACACTTTTAAAGAAATGGTAAAAAGAAGTACCAACTGACTTTGCAGCACACCCTTTTCTCTGCTCAGCACTGTGCAGACAATCACGAACAAAGCAGACCTGCCCTTTAGGACAGGGAAATGGGGGACTTCACCAGGACTTATCTCAAGTATCCACTGCATTCTGGTACTGTAGCGCTTTCCCATGACAGTACCTGATACAGCCAAAAAGCATCTTAATCTGATGGCCAAGCTAGCCAATACATGCAAACACATTTCTAAACCCCAATGGGCACTTGGTTTATAAAAAAAAAAAAAAAGATGGCAAGAGAAAATCAAAGTGCAGGGGGTGGCTGTGGTTAACTACTGTTTCCACCTGCCATTTCTCTCCCTCGTGAGCCAAGTTTCCCCTTGTGAACCTTCGGATGTGTGCTTGCAGGAATAAAAGCACATTTGGAATCTCACAGGGAAAAAAGGTGTGGGGGTGGAGTGGGAAGGCAATATACAGTAGGAAAATGGAAGGGAGGGAGAAGGTTAACTTAATCCAGAGCTGTCTTTTAAATTTTGTGACATGCCGAAGGCTAGCAAAGCAGCCAAAGCTGGAGCCGAACAAATAAATCTTTCAAGCAATGTATCTGGACTTACAGTGACCACATGCCTTAAAGAGGCTTTCATTAGCTTATTTGAGATTAGGTTATAATCTCACACAAACCCCATACGTTTGCTGAGCAGGCAGCTAATGCAAATTTGGCCTGATAAAATGTAACCACAGAAAGCCAGATGTGAGTGCTGCACAGTTAAGTTTAGGAAAGACATGGAATTATTGCATTTCCGAAACTGTGAGTTGATTCAGGAGGAATAGAAATGTATTTCCAGGCTCCGAGTTGCATCTGTATCTGCATACATCAGAAGGTGATGCACAGACTCTGGGAATGCAGAGGACCTCCAATGACCAGGGTTCTGTGCTTCATGCTTGGACGTGAACTGGTCGTCTGTGGGCTCCGATTTGAGGAAGAGTGTGACTGAACTGAGGGAATCATAGCTCTCAGGACTAACTGCACAAGTCATCTGCTCATTGACAAGAGACAGGGCAATCTTGGCACACATCAGCCACAGAGAAGCCTGCTCCTAAGAGTATTTTGGGATGGGGAAAATGATTTCAGACACCTATGCACAAAATCTGAAACCTGCCATCCTTTGCTTCCAAGCAAGAGCTAAAAATAAGAGACCACACAGTAGTTTCCATTTTTTTAAAAGTGTTGTGAAATAGAACATCAAACAGTACTGACTATGGAGTTAATCATTTGCTGCTTCAGAAGTGGCTTATTCACAGCAAGTAGGATGTATTTGCAATAAGTATTTAAGAACTCAATCCTGTGCCAATGTAGAAGGAGAAAGCAGTGCCAACTGGAGAATATTAGGAATTGAAAAGACTCTCTTCCGTTTTAACATACAGAGGGTTGCACCCTAAACTGAGGATTGAAGAGGCCTATACATTTAAAAAACAAGTAATGAATACAGAATATTGCTTACATATTTGGTTGTTCCTTTACACGAACCATTATTCCTATTCCTTGTCTGTCAACAGCATTAACTGTGTGCATGTATTCTGTTTTTATGTTTGTATATATGGATTGTTGCTCCTCACAAAGCAACTGAAGCAGTTAATAAAACAATATTTAAACAGTAAAACATAACAAACAGGTGTAAGCATTAACAGTATGAACAGCAGAAAATAAAACATGAAGTCAACAAAGCTCAGTGGAATAAAATGGCTATAAAGCCAGCTTGAGTGACACCACGGATGGATACAAACACACTGCTCCAGGGAGGGGGCTTCAAAGATGTGGACTTTCATGGAAAAGGCCCTCTCCCTGGCATTCCCCCCCCCCCCGCCCATCTACAGGTTCTTAAAAGTAGACCACAGAACAGGGCTTCTGGGTCCTGTTTCAGGGCCTGAGTGGATTTATATGGGTGCAGCATTTTAGGATGTGAGCAGAACGTGGTTTGGAGTGTCACAAAACACAAAGTTTAAATAAGAAAACAGGAAGTTCAAGTGCTGATGGATGAGCCAAAATTCAGTTTTTAAAATAGGCTATAGGTTTACTTTGACCACCTAGGGTTTGGTTCAGGTATACTATATACAGTTTCCAGGGTACATTAAATGCAACAATTACTCAGCAAATGTTACCCGATTTGGATATGAACAACATAATCCACACAAATAAATTGCTCTTGTGCTTGAATATATGATTTGATGTAGAAAAGTTTGTGTTAGTTGGCAACTGCTTTTATGGCATAGGCATAAACATAGAGATCTTTGTATTTGCTGGCAATTTAACCAATGTTCTCCCTTTGGCAATATATCCCTATATAAAATCATCATATGAATACATTTATTAGTGAGAACCAACCCTCACTGACCTGGAAATTCACTATTTAAATAGGTAAATTTTCACTAAAAATTATCTTACAAATGAAAAAAGTCCTACCTTGTAACAAAGATACAGTAATATGAGCATGGGTATTAAATATCTAATCACAGATACCTAGACAGAAAAGACAACAATTACGTTTCCTGAAATAAAAAATAATTTAAGCCAGATTAATAATGAACATTTTCATCAAACAGACTGGCTTCACAGATCACATTTCGAGTTCAGAGAGTAACTTTATTTTACATTAAAATCAGCTTCTGTGAAGAGAGTTCTATTAAGTACTTTAAAAATGCATCATGCATTGCTGTATATTGCAAAGTATTTTATATTGTGGTGCATGTGAAAAATAATATATACTGTTGTTCTTATTTTTTGTGGAAGCATTGTTTTGTTTATGCATTCCATAGCTTCTGCAACATCACCATCTAGTGGACTAAGGACTCAACCATATAAATGTTGAGGCAGAAAAATGTCCTATAACTTGTGGCACTCCCCAAGTAGCCTTGGATTTAAGGAACATGCCCTGAAAGAGCATTCCTTTGAACAGCAACCACAAAAGCACTGTACCTCCCCAGTACACCCCAAAATTCCAAATTAAATTACATATACAGCTAAACACTTTCCCCCCAGTGCAGTGCAAAAGCTTTTAAAGCATTTGATGATTCATCCCAGAAAGCCCCTTAAAAAACTGAGTTTCATTTATCAGTGGAAAAAGAAAACCAAAATGTTACGGCTCTAACCCTTCGAGGTGTGTAAAGATGAAGGAGCCTCAAGATCAGGGCCCACATGTCACTACTGCACAAACCCGAAGCTGCAAAGACGCATATATGAGAAGTCCAGAGATATTTCATCCTGCAAGATGAAAAAGTTAACACAATGTGTGAAGCTACTGATTGGTATTTATACTGTATATATTAGTATGCACATGTAAATGCAAGTTTATTTCCAGAATATTCAATATTTAAAATAAATTATAAAAACAGGATTAAAACCAATTCCGGAAACTCATCACTCACCACAGCCAAACTCTCCCTATTTTTGAGTATTGTTTTTGCAGAAGGAAAATTTGACGGAGAGTTCAGTAGGCATGCACATACCATGAAAAGCAGAAGTTGAATGAGCAAGAGGAAGATCTATAGTCTGCCAAATTTGTGACTGTTTATTGTACTGGGTTTGCATATTGTAAGCCATGGTGGGATGAGAGCCATACTCGTGTTCAAAAAGAGTTGTGTAAAAGGAGGGGGAGTTTTCGGGAGCAATGTGGGTCGTTAGCGAACAAGCAAACCATGGCAGCTAATACGGTGGCGAAGCATCACAAGTGAACCTGCCCAAGAGTCTTCAGTGCCTTGCATCTAAGAAATGCCAAATAAAGAATACCTCATTGTGCTAAATGCCAGCAATCCAAACAGAACGGTGTGCACTAAATGGTAAGCGACACCAGGTTTCAGTAGAGTTATGCACCTTTGCAGCTTATCTGTGGATTTGACGTTTGCAGAACCACTGAGTGAGAAGGAAATAAGAATACAACTGTGTTATAGGATGGCATATATTATTTTAAAACAGAACATTTGTATGCAGTTCACAGTCACCTCTCAGTTTCAAGGAAGATAAAAAATTCGAAGCCACTACTAATAGATTTTTCATTCTTCCCGTGTACCTTAAATATACCCTTGTGCAAGATTCTCTTTTTTCATGTTGGCCTGGCAAATGTTGATACAGGAATAAATATTTTAAAAAATCAAATGATTTTATTTGTACATTACAATACTGCAAATAATGAGGAATAAATGTTCAGCCAAATGGCATCTTGACAGCAAATTCAAATTTGCAGCACGGTGATTTTTCTGGCTTCAAATCAAACACTGGCCTCAGCTGTAGCTGGAAATTGTTACCTTGAAACAGATTTCGGTTCTTCAGATCCAATTCTAGGAATACAGAGCCCCATCCCCAAGTGGCCATTTTATTTAGGGTCAAGTAGATTTTTCCCTGTTCAGGTGAATCATGCAAAGTGGTTACCTTATTAAATCTGCCACAGAAAGCAAGCAACTACTTTGCATGGTATTGCAAAAAGTTCTTCATAAGGCGGCATGCAAAACAACCATTTTGCAAGGAAGAGGACGGCAGCTGTTTTCCATGGGCAAGGATTCATCCTGGCAGGAACAAAGAAGGCCACTGGGAAAAGTTAGTCATGGCCAGCTTAAGTTCCAGTGATCTCAAGGGGACCCATGTAGGACCAACTTGGTCTATACAATGTATTGACTGCAAGCAGAATAATTGTGCAAAAAGCAGTTTCAAGGAGTGTAAAGGGTAAAGGTAAAGGTTTCCCCTTGACGTGAAGTCCGGTCATGCCTGACTCTCGGGGGCGGTGCTCATCTCCGTCTCCTGGCCAAGGGAGCCAGCGTTTGTCCACAGACAGTCTCTGTGGTCATGTGGCCGGCATGACTAAACACTGAGGTGCACGGAACGCTGTTACCTGCCCACCAAAGTGGTACCTTTTTACCTACTTGCATTTGCATGCTTTCGAGCTGCAAGGTTGGCAGGAGCCGGGACGGAGCAATGGGAACTCACTCCGTTGTGCACATTCGAACCGGCGACCTTTCGATCTACCAGCCCAGCAGCACAGCAGTTTAAACCACTGTGCCACCTGCAGTCCCTCAAAAAGTGTACAGGTGTATTTTTTATTCTTTTAAATATCACTTTAAGAAAAAAAAAATCAGAGCAGTTTATATAGTAAAAGGGAGCAACAATTAAAAGAATTCGTAAAACCTGAATGTTAAAATTTCCACTATGGTTTCCTCACTGTTCCTTGAGTCTTGTAGGCTTCGTTAGGCAGATGGTCCCAATAATTCTAGGCTCCTGAAAATCCTGCCACTGGAGAGACAGTGCTATAAGCTTTGCTCTCTGGCCACATGTTGCTACTGCTGCCTTGAAAGGCCTGCAGCGGCCATGGGGGCACTGCCCTTCCCGCCATTCCCCAAAGGAGTTTTATGAGCGCCAAGCCTATCTTTCTAGGAATATTCACAGCTGGGGGGTCAGATAAAACGGGTGAAAAGTGGTTGCTAAGGAACACTCCCTGCAAGTCACAAACCATGCAGTGATCCTTCAGAAGACTGGGAGCTACCAACAAGGGAGCCACTGACTCCCGCATCAGTCGAGCCTCTTACAATGAACATCTTTGTCTCTTCCCTGTATTCACATCCATTCCACTTCAGCCTCGACTCTCATTCCAGTCCATCTCTGAAGAACTCCATACACACCCATGCCATGTTCCTTACATGCTACAGTTCACTCTTCAGCCCACTGCATAGCATGGTGCTATCTCAAGAAGAAAACAGCCATTAACATTCTACAGGTTCTCTAACATATTTTAACCAAGAGTGATTGGGAGCCGGTGGACAACAATATAGCACATTTTCAGTTGCTAGATTTAATTCCTGAACTGTCTGCCATTTATGGAGCAGAGCTCTTAAATTAGATAGGCGTAAAATTAAAAAAACAGGAAATCAAGTACGGTCATAGAAAACAATAGCAGAGTATAAGAACACAAAAAAGCCATGCTGGATCAGACCAAAGGGGGCAGACCAGCTGCCCAAAGGATAACTCAAGGAGGATGGGTGCAGGAACTCCGCTTGCCCACGCTTCTCAGCAACTGATGTATGCCGGCATGCCATCTCTGGTAGGGGAGGGAGCACACAGCCAGCAAGGCTAGTAGCCACGGATAGCCTCCTCCTCTATGAATCTGTCCATCCCCTTTTTCAAGCCATTCCAATTGTTGGCCATCACCACTTCCTGTGGTAGCGAATTCCATAAACAGAAGGAATGAAATAAAGAAAAAGGAGATAATCCAGCAGAGCTAAAAAACACAACCTGATGCTAGCCAAAATATCTTGACAAATAAAAAAGCGTTTGCCTTGTTCTGAAAAGGCAGTGCTGTCCGTGCCAGACAAGCTTTTCTGGGGAAGATATTCCTGCGGGGGTGGGGGAGAGAATGCCCCAACCAAGGAGGCACTTCCCCAGTTACTGGCTCTCTAACTTCAGCTCTTAGGGTGACCCAGAGGAGGACTGCCCTCAAATGAAAAGGGATGCATCAAGCCAGGGTCAAATAGCAGAAGGTGATCATTCTGATAGCTGGGTGCCAGCATTTTTAGGGTCTTTGAACTGTGCCTGGAAAGGGACTTCCACTACAGCTCAATTCTGAACCACTGTGCTTTGTGCCAAGCAAGTACCAGCCATCATAGACAGCTCAACTAAATGCCAGGGAGGGGCTCAGTCCTCCCCTTTATCATGAAAAACTGTAGCTCAGTGATAAAACATCTACTTTGTACAAAGGTTTTATTTATTTATTAAAACATTTTTATGCCGCCCCATTCGCCGAAGCCTCGGGGCGGCTTACAACATATTCTGGCTTCCGTCAGGCTTACAACAGGTTCTGGCTTCCGTCTTCAAAGAGGGAAGGGCTATATGAAATCCTGAAAGCTGCTTCCGGTTAGGAAATAGTGAATTTCTGCTTTGGTATAAGGCCGCTTTCAATGCTTTCATCAATATGCAAGTTTTTGTTTGAAAGTGCTTCTGTGTGTGGAGAAGCATTACCTCATGTGAGGGCCACTTGCCATTAAAGTGGCATGGCACAGACCCAGGTGTACTGCCTCAGTGATTCATGATTTGCATGATCTGAAATATGCATATCCCAGTGTGAATTAACTTACTGTAATTTGAGGACTGCAACTTTATCTCTAAGACACAAACATCGGTAGCCTTAAAAGGGGTTCAGACAGATTCATGGAAAATAATGCTATACTGGCTACTAGTCATAATGGCTATATATTACTTCCAGTATCAGAAGCAGTAATCCTCTCAGTATCAGCTGTTGGGAAAGAAAAGTGGGAGGGTATTATTCAACTCATGTCCTGCTTGTAGGTTTCCTATAGACATCTGACTGGCCACTGTGGGGTCAGAATACTGGACTAGGTATTCCCTTTGTCTGATCCAGCTCTGCTCTTCAGATTCGTGCTATTTATTTGAGATGCAGCAGCAACGGAACTGTGTTATGCTGCAGACACTGCTTAACCTATTGGGTGGGCAGGCAGGCAGGCAGGTGGGCAGAAAGACAGGCTAGTGAGGCAGTATACACACACTCTTCTGTTTATTTCTTTAACAAATATTAGGACTGAGAACTGCCAGAGCTACAGCTTTTGGGTCCAGAAGATCAAACTAAATCCAGCTAGGATGCCACTTCACACCAAAGTTGGAAGACCAAATTCAAAACTTTTGCAACACAGCTTTTAGAAATCTGGCTCAAATTTGCTGAAGTTCTCTGTTTTCAGCTACCCGGAAGGGAAAGACTCCCGTTAAAACTCAAATTTTGCAAATCACAAATGGACATACCTGAGATTCTGAAAACCAACAAAAGCCGCTGTTACGGTCATTACAAAAAGCACAAATATGTAGGCATAAAAAACTAAAGTGTCAGAAAGTCTTATGAAAGTATTAAAAGGTAAAAGGCGAAAAGCTTCTTCGCACAGGTACAGGTTAGCATCAAAATCTCTAAAGAAAGAGAAGAGAGACGATATTACAAGTTTTGACATGTACATTATTTCCACAGCTGCCAGTTACAAAAGCCTGTTTAGCATGAGGTGAAGAATTATCATTCAGCTCTTTCAAGTAGAACCGAAGCTTTATATTGGGAAAACATCAGAAAATGCTTACTTTTGAAACGTGACTGATACCATACCTTGTTGCTCCAAGTCCAAACTTTGCTTTCAGAAACTTAAATATATGTTCATCTGACTCCAAATTAAGTACTTTCTATGAAGACAAAAAAGTAGGTCATAATGTTCACCTAGCTATGAAGAATAAGAAATCCTATTAGGAAAGAAAATTAAAGCTGTATGTTTTTCCTGGCTATGAAAATTAAAACACAATTGCTCCTCTACGCAAGTCCCATCAAGACATTTAATAAATGCAACACTTTCCCCCCCTTTGGTTTTACTTAAAACAGTAAAACAATGCAAATTGATTTAGGTCTGGATTTTTCCACAGTGTATATATTTTATAGAAACAAATACTAACTCTAGCTATTTTGATGCAAACTTCTTGTCTTATGACTCCATCTATTTTTCCCTATTAACTTCTTAGTTGTTGGGAAGGAACAGACCACTGGGCCTGGATTTCTCAAGAACATGCAGCCTCTTCTTCCTTCTTTGCCAATGTAAATGAAGTGGCAACATTGAGGATGTGAAACTTTCTGCCTGGGGAGATTGGTCAAGTCGGCTCTGTGCTTCCTGCCATCTGTTTTCTTTTATTGCAAAATCTTTAACTAGGTGTTTTATTGTGTTCTGTTATTGATAGGTTGTTTTGCTCTTACCCTGGGTTTTGTGCACTTTATAGTGAAAATGTAGGATAAAATTTTCTTTAAAAGAAACCCTCAATTGATTGAGGGAAGACAGGAAATGGGGAATGCTGGGCTGTCAGCACATAATGTGGAAGCTATGCAAGTCCATTATATTTTTGGACACCTCAAAAATAAGGCAACATGTTCTGACTTTCTCTTCTGCCTGACCCCATACTGTACAATGGAGAGGGGAGAAATTCAAGACGCTTGGGCAAATAGAAAGAGAATTACTTTATAATCTCTGAACAGGGAATATAAATTGGGGGATTTCTTCTGTCAACTACTGCTAGCACCTATGAGGAAACTGCTCTCTGGATGGGGAGTTCCTCCTATGGGTTTCTTATGAGCAAATGCCTATATTCCTGGGCCCAAATAACTCTCTGCTACTCTAAATAAAGAGTTACACAAAGCGATCCTTTCCTGCTCCATTTAGTTCTGTTAGAGCACATTAATAACTCCTATGAGTTACTTTAACAGGATTAGATGTGAGATGTTGAAAAAAATAAGTAACTAAAGTAATATTTTGCATGCTAAGTGATGACTAATATATAATTTGGGTTTTCTAAAGACTGCTTAGTGGCAACTTTTTAGGACTCAGGAAACACTTTGCTGTTAGAACCCTCTAAGAATTCTCTCAAGTCAAATTCCATAACCTCCACCCCAGACGGATACCCTTATAACTGAATCTAGCTTCTGGGCACAGGCCTCCTCCAAAGCTACTCCTATTGTACCACTGGCTGCTTGGATGGTTAATCTGGATTTTTACTGCCTTCTTGTATAACCACTTGCTGGTGAGATTTTAGGGCAGCTTCCTAGCATAACAAGGACACCTGATCCCTACTTCTAATCCAGTGTTGTCCATCTGCTAATAGAATGGCATTTACCAGTGGAGCAGATTCGTTCTCCTCATGGAGGCTGCTGGACTCTCCCAAAGTCTGCTAAGCAGGCCTGGGGGACCCTCTGGAGCCGATTTTGGGGGTGAGGGGCAAGGCCCCACAAGCAGGGCAGAAGGTTTCATTGTGTGAGTGGAAGTCCACTCAAACAACACTGGATATAGCCTACTAGGATTGAATCCATAAAATGACTTTACATCAACTATAAACATTTAACAATATGCTAGATAAAAATAAATGGAAAACTGCAAGGAAAAAGTATATTTACCCACCTTAATAGAATTGTTTACAAGAAATGTCAAACACAGCACTAAGAGTACATGAATGAAAAGCTTTCCAAGTCTGCTAAACAGGCCTCCAGTTTTCAGGTTGTTCTGGAAAATGAAAGCAATGATTGTTTAATGATCAAAACACATCTAGAGAAATGATGCTAGTCAGTAGTACTAGTTTATCTGATCATAATTTAAAAATCACTATGTTAACAGTTGTGTTAAAAGACACTGCTATCACCACAGGGATATTTTAGTTTCATTTTCCGATTAGTCTTTACGGAAGAAGCCATCGCTGAAGGGGGAAACCAATGATGTTTTCAAACCACTGACTCTGTCAGAGCAAATGCAGAATTGGTTGTCTTGGTTGGCAGCAAGAAACATGAGCAACAGATCTTGACATGATCTTGCTGTGAGAGAAGGAGCTCTTATGTAGTAAGATGCTAAACAGGATTCCAGAAAAAATGTACTTGGCAAAAATATAAGGGAACCCTGACCTAAAAGCAGTTTATGAGTTTATCATGAGACAACACAACAACAACACAGCCAAGGTACTCCCTTTCCAATATGTCTGCTTAGCACTTATGATTTTGATTCGAACACAGGTATTGCCACATAGCAGTGTGGCATTCAAATGACTTGCTCCATCTGAGAAACGTTCCCTGTGACATCAAATGCAGCGTTCTGTTTAGGACTGCAAGTTACTGCTGCCTTGTTTTAGTTCTGTGAATGGGAATCACTGCCTGTGTGTTCTCCAAGATACCTCCTGAGCAAGGTGGATTTGATTTAAATCAAATCAATGTAAATCACAATTTAAATCACTAGTTAGTAAGACTAGCTTTAAAGCATAGTTTTCTACATAATTTGCGTGCATAATATGAAAAACCTCAGGCTACAAACGAAAAAATCTTAAGACTTGTGCCTTCTCACACTTAGCTTGTTGCACAGACCTACTCCACTCCCCCAAATTTTCTTCTATTTATTTAATTTTTTGAAACTTAGCACTTAAGTGGTAAGCGGTTGAATCTGTGTACATAGATTTTCAAAGGGATAAAGGGATTAAGTCTTTTGCTCAACTCTGTATGCCTATTTTCTAACACTTTTGGTGTAGAGTCACATAATCTCTACAGACACAAATTCTCCGTTTTGAGAACTGTAAAACTAAGCATCTGTGATAGTATCTTCTAGAGAGAAAAAATGCCCAGTAATCTTACAGAAACCTCTGGATATTGTGAATGGATTAATGGAATTCATTTACCAAAAAATTTAAACACTCCATGAATATACAGCCTCATGCTACATGATTAAAACCTAATCCTTATCTCATGACTATAATGTATCTTACATAGGAAAACTTCTCCTCAAAAAGCATTTAATTTTTAAAAATCCGGTTTAAATTCTTTAAAACCTGATTTTTTTTTAATGACTTTCATCTGCCCTGCTCCTGAGGTCCATTTCTATCCATGGTCCATGGTTCATCCATGTTCTCACACTCCTGCAGCCCATCCCATTGTGCTCACTCACAAGAACGCAAGGGACTGCAGCCTTAGTTAATCTAGAACTGCTACTTCACACTTAGAACTGGTGCCCGAGCTCGCTCAGTTCTCTCGTCCCTCCTCATTATCTGTTTTTTCTCTTTTATATTGTAAAAACTGGCATGGGCAGTTCTGTCCATTTAATTTTTTATTTAATGTATTGATTACTTTAACACAACGCCACTTTCAGAGCCTTTTTGGCGAAAGAGCAAAGATGTTTAAATAAATACATAAATATAAGGTTTCGGAGTTAAGTAAGCAAACATCAATATTTCCTAATACACTGCAGTGTTGATTAATATCAGAAAGCACAGAGCTGCAGTCTCTTCCCAACTTTCCTAGCATTTTGGTAATGGACCAAAATGTGCATTACCATTTAATGAGGCTTTTCTTACAGGCATGAATCTCTGCATACAAAGAAGTAATAGATAAATCAGCTGTTTGTCTGTGAGGAGAAATACAAAATCATAAAGCAGCATGGCTCTATGCCCAGCCACATAAAATCCTTAAAAGTATCTGTTTCAGTTCTACCATCTATTTTGCTCTCACTTCCAGGAAATCTTTAGTGGAAGGGTGACACTGTTGAATTGGGGTCACACATCTGGCATCAATCTGCTACATAAGAATGGATTAGGAATTTCTGCAATAGTTTATGTTGCCATTTTTAGCCATTTGTTGCTAAAGGTATCTGTGTTAGTCTATTCCAGCAAATGCAACAGAGTCTTGTAGCATCTTTCAGACTAATTTACTCTGGCATAAACTTTCCTTGACTATATAGTATGTTTCACCAGATTCATGGTGATTTCTGTTTTTATATACAATACATTAAACATGACCAGACAGTTAGTGGGATAAGTGAGAAGCAGGTTACAAAGGTTGTAGCCTGATGCAGAGTCTGAAAAGAAAAGTGATCAGACAATGCCTTATCCTGTAAACCTTTATCATGCATATCTCCTTTTACCTGCCCTTTTCTCTAAATGAAACATTCCCAGCTGTTGTAACGTTTCCTCACAGGGGAGTCACTTCAGTCCTATGAACATTCTACTTGCTCTCTTTTAATAATGTGTGGATCTATGTTTCCCTGATATGAAATTTTACATGTATTTTACCTTGTTCTCCTTGATATGGTCTTTAGGGTAATCCAACAAGCTTTCTTCTAATCAGTAGACTGTTTTGCTTATTCAATGCTCCTGAAATAGTGTCACTAACTTGGAATATATTTTCAGAAATTTTGTCCCGTGTTTGCTCCTTAACTCCTGCTTTTCTTTTTTCCCTTGGGCTCAGCTGAAGGCCCAATATGCCACTCAGGAGGTTGACTTGGTAAGAACGCAAGAGCAGCCTCTGAAGGATCAGGCCATGAAGCATGGCATCCTGCTTCAAACAGTGCTTAGCCACATACTCCGGGGATGCCCACAGAAAGGCAGCGGACAAGGCCTACTATCTGTACCACATGCCCAGTAGTTGTGAATAATACTGCTTTCGACTCTTGAGGCTCCATTCACCTATCATGGATATTAACAGGCCTGCCCTCCCCTAACAGTTGTTTCATCTTTTAACATTTGTTAAAACCATACCTTATGGGAAAGAATGTGAGATGTGCGGTGTAAGGAAGTAATTTCCCTTTGTTGTCCTGAAACTACTTCCAACTAATTTCATTGGTTGGTCCCTTGAGTTTCTAACATTATGAGAGCGAAGAGACCTTTTTATCCACCCTCATTACACCATGTATAAAATTAAGCAACAAAGTGGACAACTATCTAGTGTATCCTCTTTGTCAGTTACTTTAAAAACAAATGGAATCCTGTTAAAATACATACATACCTGAAGTTTTCTTGCTAACAAGGCAGACATATTAAAACTTACAAGTAGCGATCCTACTATCATGGAATTAAAGAACTGCAGAAGGCAAACGAGCAGCAAACTAACCACTTGTATTATATAGATCCAGGTCACCTGCAAAAATCGTAAGAATTTATGCGTGCCACAGTTAAAAATGTTGTGCAAAAGTGAGCTATTCCTCTGTAACACTATTCCCATTTTTATATTAATTGACATGTGGAACCGAAGCATTTAACTTGTACAATGTTCATGCTAATTCTATGGTAAGGAAATTGGTACAAAGAAACAGCTTAGAATTCTACCAAGAAATACTGTGCCTCCCTGCAAAGATTTATATTCTTTGTTTTAAATGAAAGAAGGAACCAAAAAATGGCATTTTGGTATTTTTAGATTGGTAGTTATATTTCTGTGTAGACCTGTATAGGACTTAGATGTTAAGTCACTGTGAAAAACAATGTTCTAGTTTTCCGTGAAAAATATGAAACAGAGCATGCTATCCTAAATATATGTAGTGAATCACTTTTTCTTAGACAAATGCTAAACATCGCTGTTCTAAACTGTTTTCACGCTGGCCGAAAATAGTTTTAAGGCTATTGTTTCAGGTTGTTATTGTGAAAGGTAATTTTATCATTACTGTCAATGTTTTTATGATGTTTTAAATTATTTTGATATGTTCTTGGCATCCATTTTTTACTGTGTTTTATGCACTGGAAACCCACCTTGCGAATATATGGGCCTAAAATGTCACCTAGAAATGCCTTAAACTAGGCTGCATATGTGAATACACAATTTTGCACACACAATTTTGCTGTACATCCAGTATGCTACCATTTCATGACAGGTTTTCCACCTAAAAATTCAGATTATATAACTGAACACATCGCAACGAACAATCCAGTCCGTGCAAATGCGACTGTTTCCCACTATTTCAATGCAACTTAAAGAGCGTGTAGCTGTGGCAATGGTGCCCATACATCCAGTAATTAACCTACCTTTCCTCTCGGAAGGAAGTCAAGACAGTCCAGTGTGAACAAAACCACTGCCTGGATCAACAACATAAACTGATTAAACTGCCAAGTCAAACTGAAGAGGAAGGTTGAAATAAATACTGCAAGAAGCGTCAGTCTCTGCAGAAGACAGAAACACCAGCTAAATGAGAAGCATGAGAAAAGATCATAGCAAACTAAACAGAACAGAGTGACTGCCCTTTCCGATGTAGCAGTTGCCTTTTAAAACCATCTGTTACCTCTTGTGTATTACATGTTTGGTAGGGAAGTGGGTACAGTGAGAGTTGATTCTGCTCCTGAGTATTCTAGTCTACTGCTTTTTAAAACGTACTCTCTATCTGTGGCCTTTGAATAGAGTACTTAAGCACTAATTTCTCCGTGCAGTTTTCCAACTGTTAGGGATATATGCATAGAAGCCTACGTCTGTGCTAATATGGGATCTGTATTCATCCAGAACCATGGAAAATCAGAAGCTATTATTTTTATATCATCTGTGTCTGCAATGTATTATTTTCACAGTTTCATCAATATTACCTTGGCTGTATCAAAAACATTACATTTCTGCAATTTAAAAGACTCACTTCATGAGTAGGACGTAAATGAGGTCTGAAGAGGACTGTAATTGCAGCTAACTGAACAGCAAAGAATGGTAGTGCCCAATTCTCTCTTAATGGAATGGTAAATTCTACCCGGGTGGTATCTAATCTGCATAAAACAGAGGAAAAGGGTTATATAGGAATCAGCAAACAAGTCCTGTGCAAAGACGAAAAAATGAAGAATTAAAAATGGACTGGAAATATCATTTGACTACCTCAAAGTAAGATAGGAATTCTTCAGTTTAATCAGATTAATGCAGTACAGACTGAAAATACTTTATAGCAAATTTCAACCAGAGATGACACTGTTTGCAGTGATTCTCAAACAGCAAATGTCAAAGACTTCCAAAATTCCAAAAAAGCTACATTATTGGCTGTTGCCATTTCACCAAGATAATATGAAAGGCTTAACTGACCATCCTTCAAATATAATCAGCAGTGAAATATTGAAGTAATTATTGTTTCATAATTGAACCAGGCAATGAGTAGCTTGCCAGTGGTTAAAAGTGCAGGTCTGGGACTCAGGCAATGTGGGTTCTAATCCCTGCTCAGCTGTGGAGCCAAGTGGGTGACTTTGGGCCCGTCACAGACTCTCAGTCCAACCCACCTCACAGGGCTGTTGTGAGAAGGTTGAGAGAAGGAGAATTATGAAAGCTGCTTTGATTTCTTAAAAGAAAAGAAAAAGGCAGAAGATAAATCTAATAAATAAACAAGTAACTTATTGATTATATCATGTTCACATTCTATATTCTGCCTAGCATTCTAATGGCATGTTTAGTAAAATGTCTTTAAGTGGCTGAAAGCCCACTTTTAATAATTCTAAACAAAGCAGTACAGTCTTTTTCAATGATATTTTAAACATTTGCCTTCAGGGTCCCCTCGCCTCACATGGACCTCGCAAGGGTATCAGGGTCACATGGACCTCGCAAGGGTATCAGGCTCACATGGACCTCCCAAGGGTATCAGGTTCACATGGACCTCCCTAGGGTATCAGG